AAAAAGAGTGCTGTGAAAAATAAACCAGGATGAACACAGAGGTAAGAAAGGCAAAAGTGAAACTAGGTAAGAATAAACTGTCTGTTGTCATGCAGAACATAATTACACTATGGAATATACGAGACAAAATCCGTTCCTGCTTTTTTTTCTGCAGAGTATTTCAAATTTTATTCACACTTGTTCAGTTAAAATCAACATAAGCAGAGCAGAACTGTCAAGTTAGTAGCATAGGTCAAGGTCAGCTCCAGTTAGATCATTCTTGACAGATGCTTTTTTCAACCCGCTTTTCAAAAATGCTTTTTAAATCTGCTTTTCAAGAACGCCATCCACAGAGGTTCTGCATGGATTGCCAGGTAATCCAGCTCAATTCCCCTATATAAAGGACTGTTTTCAGGCCTGGATCCATTCTGTGATCCCTTACTAGAACTGCAGCCCTCATTTAGGGCCCTGGTGATGGATACTGTATGAATTATACAACATGAAAGTTTTATCTAAAGTGATATTCCTGTCTCATATACTATGTTATTCTGCCTCATCAGTATATTACTTCCAATTCCACTATTTACACTTTCTAACATCATGCTAAGTTTCCTCAATCACAGAAGGTTGTATCTGTCACAAATCTGTGGAGCTATGTTTCAGGAACCTTGAAGTCCTAACAAATATGCCTGCCCTGACAGACAAGACTGCCTCAAATATATTCACCAAAACACACAGAACATTACCAAATGCAAAATGGAGAATTATTTTTAAATTGAGAAGGAGGAACCAACAAAATCCAAAAACCTCAATGCTCTAAGTGTAAGTTTGATTCTCCTTTACTGATGAGTAACTTCTACCTTGAATGTATTACTAATAACAACAAAGAAAATTAAAATTTCCTTTACCTTTTCAGGGCACCACTGGGAAAATTGTGTTCTTTAAAATTCAACAAGAAAATTACCTACAAAAGCAAATCTCAGGCAAATGCAACAGCTTCTACCACTTATTAACACTTATGCACTATCATTCTGCTTTTGTTTCTCATCTTTATTATGGAACTAAATTATAAAGATTGTTACCTCCCAATAGACGCAATATTCCCCAGAGTATAAAACACTGCAAAGAGAATCAGCCCTTTCTTTGGTATCCATAGCAGACAACTACCCTAAAAAGGAACATTAGAGAGACGGGGGGTGGAAATTAATAGCTTTGAAATTGAAAAAGAAATATATCCCAGAAATATCACATCACAAAAGAAACTTAAAAAAACCCCAACCTTAAACCTAAATGGCAGAATCACACATATAAAAGTAAATCGCATTTATTAGCATTTTTGTTAAGACTTAGTGTATCTAACTGGAACCGAGTCAGACGTCTCCTCAGAGACTCAGAAAAATCAAGCAACGGCACAGAGCAAGGCTGCAATCACCTGGGCTCCTGAAACTCAAATACTGGAGAGATCTGGCAAAAAGTCCTTACCAAGACCGAGCACAGGCATCCTATAGCAAAACACGCAACGAAGCCTTTCACTCGGGTGCCCCAGCCTAAAGAAGTTGAATCAATAACCTGGAAACGAGGAGAAAAATAAAAGCGAAACTTATTTACTAGTAGACCTCGCCTCCTGTCAAGTGTGCAAACTTCCTCTCGGACGCCGAGCTGTGTCCTATTCCGGCTCCCTCTCCCGCGGCCCGCGGGAGGCGCGGGGGATGCGGCGGGACCGCCACCCGCGCTGGGGACCCGGGGGGTCCCCGCAGGGCTGAGGGGACGGGGGGGGGACCGCCCGTCCTCCCGCCCACGCCGGGATCGCCGGCACCGGCAACTTTTCCGCTGGGGCTGTTCCGCCAGCTCTCCAAACCAACCGGGGAGGGGTTGTTTGGGTGCCCCCGCAGCCCCCCGGCGGTACCTCGGCCAGGCCGCTCGGCTCCTCCGCGTCGCGGCCGCTCAGCACCCGCTTCAGCTTGTCCATGGCTCCGCTCCCCGCCCGGCCGCCGGCTGCCTTCCCTTCCCCTCCCCAGGGACTACCACTCCGGCAGGCACCGCGCCCACCTGCGCTCCCAGGTACGGGAAGGCCGCGGGGCGGCGCGCGGGCTGACGGGGGATGTAGTCCGGATGTGGCTGTATCCCATCTCCTCCCATCCCTTTCGCGTCCATTACTCGGCAATAGCAAAGCTCATAGAAACAATGACACAGACTTCATTTCGCTCCCACGGCTGTGGCTCTTACCCTGGTCTGAAAGAGTCTCCACTTTATTTTCGTAACTAGCCAGAGCGGTCTCCTGCCAAAGGCACGTGGATGCAACATCTTACTAGCAGGCAAAATTCAGCATCACAAGTGGTTATTTCAGTTTATTTTGCTCAGTTAAAAACAAAACTATAAAACATTTGGTACATTTTAGTTTGCAACATACAAGAAACAATATAAACTGCCACATTAGACTCGCCACAAAACAGCTGGAGAATCCCCCCCTGCTCCCTCCCCCTAAAAGTGGTACCCTCCAAAGTGGTACTTTTCTGTGGAAATATTGTGCCAGCAGGCTTGTGGTACACCAGCTTATGCTACTGCTTCTTGGTAATCTGTGTGGCATAAGAAAGTCACAAAGTGCTCCAATTTTGAACTTGTAGTAACTGTAACTTCCTAAACATGTTCCTGTAATTTCCCCAATACGTGTGGTTCCACTTAAATGCACCCAAAATAGATGGATATCACATATCTACATAGTCAGGATACAAGCCCATTCAATAAAACTGTATCAAAAGGTCACAGATTAGAGTGTATGATGGACAAGATAAAATACACAGTATAAGCTAAACATGCAGAGTGCCCTTTTCAGTGCTTGCTGTCCACTCTGTGGGTTTTCCCCCCAACACATTTTAGCCCAACGGAGCTTACATTAGCATCACTGACCAAACCCGAATCACAGTTTTAATTAATTAATGCAGATACAGTTTCCTTCATGCTAGCACTACATGAGCTCTGCTCTCAGTCATTACCAGCTTTAAAGTGTGTTTTTATAAGCTTTAAGGCATGTAAAATAATATATGCTTAGAGTAAAAGAAGTGCCATGATTTACTTCTACTAGAAAAATACCTCTTCACCCCCATTTGCTGTTCCCTTCCTTTTCACTCTCTCCCCGTACTCCTCTATCACTGGAGCAGACCCAAATCATCTTCTATTACCAAATGAATTTTAATCACTTCCATGCTGCATTTATTTGCAGCCCCCTTCTTTACCCTGACATCAAAATCTTTAGGAAACAATGCTGGAAGATGAAAAAACGCCAACAGAATATAGGACTGTAAGAGGGAATATAGAGGATCTCACCTCTATTTCAAAGTGGCCATAAATTCAGTCACACAGACCATGTCTGGATGACAATTTCTTTCAGAGACTGCTTAATTTCAGTTTTCTTCACTCATTTTATCCTACGGATCATAAGATATTTTGCAGTAATCCTTTCCAAAGGATTCCAAAGATAAGGCTGAAGGTGTATTCAGAAAAAAAAAATAAATTAATTCTAATCAATAACTTTTTACAAACTAATCCCCACAGACTCTCTGTGAGGTAGGCATATATTAACTCTCATTTTTACATACAGGGAACGGAGGCACAGAGAAGTGTCTTCCCTGTAGTTGGAGTAAATCAGTGACACAGGACACCAAGAAAACAGTCCCTTAGATGGCAGTAGACTGGGGTTTCTTTCCTAAAAACCTCAGGGTCTTCTCTACATGAAAACCATTTCTCTGAAGATCTGCTTAAATACCAGATTTTGAGGTGAGTTGTTTCTATTAAGTCATGCACTGTAAAATACGAACATTTTTAAACAAAACCCCCAAGACAACAGAATGCATACTCATTCTTATCTGTAATCACCTGAAACCACAGCCTGCTTTTCACTGCAGTGACTTGCTTCTTGCACTGAGAGTCAGCAGTACCCCGAGACAAGCCTGCTCAGCTGCCCCATTCTTAGGCCAAACCATTAACATACTGTAGGATTTCCAAAAGCAACACAAATATTTAAGTTTAATCTACAAAGTGTTAAAACCATACTATACAAGTGATCACGATGCTATTAATATTAAAACTTAAAGAATTTTATAATAAACCAAAATTATGTATCTGGAACACGTTAGCATCCTTTTAAGGCCATACAGGATCTCATTTGTCAAACTCCAAATACAGCATCCTTTAGGGATTACAGATTAAACAGCCCTGTCTTCCACAGCCTCAACCCACGCTGCAATTTGGCAATTTGACTTTCAGGGCAGTATAACCATCACATGTGGGCACCACTCAGTGCATCCAACAAATGGTCAGTGCAGAACAATGCATGTCCAATATTGTGTGTGACTGGAGCAGCATCCAGACCCTAACTGAGAGTCTCCAGAACTGTCTAGAGAAATCTGCCTGACATCAGAATTAACTGCTTTACAAAGAAAGTCATTTTACCTTTATATAGTGTCAAACAAATCCATTTTTTCCCCCCCATCCCTAAACCTATCCTCAGATGAAATGAATATTCTTAGGTGAGACTCTGGATCAGAGAGTAACAGTTGGTTATCAGCTCACAGTAGGGGAAGCCAAGCAAAATGTGTAGTTTAGGACTGTCAGATCAAAATAAATGCAGATGAGTTTTTTTCTTTTTACTGTGGATGATTTCTCAATAAAAATAAATCATGCCAACTTTACAATGCCAGTAATCTCTTAATATCTGAAGCAGCCATAACAAAATCTTCATAAAAGTGTTAGTGGTGGAGGGTCCAGAAAATACTCCTGCCTACTTGGTGAACTAAACAGAACCCAGACTCTTAATTGTCATTTCTCCAGTGCCATTGAAAATTATCACTCACCACCAGCTTATCATCAATTCCAGATACAGGTTAAAAAAAACAACCAAAAAACACCATTAGCAAAACCTGCTTGAAATGTTTTCTCTTAAGGCTACAGAAAAATGAGCCAAATTCTTCATTCCACTATTAGTGAAATACCCCCCATGGCAACGAATACGTGATCACATCATCTCCAGTCTACTTCAAGTCCATATAAAGTCACATTTATTTATTAGACTTAACACACACGGTTTCCAGTGATTCTTCTGGTTTAGGCTCCAGCTTCTCTGGGAATTCTAATTTTTCACAGATTGTCTCCTTTATGGGTAGATACTGAGAGATCTCGTTAGGTTCTGTGAACAGGGAAGGTGGAACGTGCTAAAAAGCAAAAATTTTATATGAAACAAGTGAATGAAAGGAAGGGGAAAAAAAGTACTCCAAACTTTTACAGACAATTAATCTATAATTTACCCAAAGTCAGGTATGATTATTAAAATTTATCTTAGAACTTCAAATGGACATATAGTCTTACTCCTTATGTGGATCAATAAGCCAGGGAAAGGGATTTAACATTTTTAAGCAGCAGATTATAAGAGCACAAGAAAGTCAGAGACATCCATAAACAGCTACAATGTTTTTTAAAAATATATTTAAAATGGGAATGTAACAAACAGTCTTTTTAAGGTTCTAATTCTAGATGAGACTAGGATGGCCACAAGGGATTCCATGTCTTCTAGCCATTGTGATATATTCCCTGGAGTTGCTTGTATTTAGCTATTGATAATTGATCAATCTTAACATGTATCTTAGTTTTACGATGTTCACCACAGACATGTATATAAAATACTAAAACTCACTGGATTTTAATTTCATATTTTAACAAACAAGGTGGTTTCATTAAGTGAATCAGTATCTTTCTCTGGAGATCTCTGTAGATCACCATATGCAAGACATGTGATGGAAAAAAATAATGCTATACTGAACAAATAACCTCCAAACTTTCTAACAACATTCTTTAAGAAGTGCACCCAGAGTTATTCAAATGCAACCTGCCCTTTGGCTACCCTTGCCATGCAAGGAGCCATACCACTGTTTTAATTATTTCAAATCTCAGTGAAGCAGGAATCTTTTCTGCTTTACCTATGCAAGCTAATCTAGGGAACTGAAAAGCCATATGCATTTCCTCTCTATAACAACAAGCAGGAAAAATTACTTTACAGCACAGATGATAATTTTTAAACATGAGATGAAATAAAACCTAGATCACTGATTAATATTTCAAAAATTACAAAACTATTCAAAAAGCTTGTGTCTGGATTTAGTCCTCTTTATAGGGGTCACATATTGTTAAGAAATGATATAGTGCCCCTTTTCTCACAAGACAAGAAACATTTTGCAAAAATATTCCCTTTGGAAGGTTAGCATTAGTCACTTTTTCCAAGTGAAAGAAAAATAAGGGAGAAGGAAAGTTACAAGAATATGAAAAATCAGGTGCTGGGTCAAGAATAAAAATCAACAGCTGCAACTCCAAATGTGCCACAAATTATGCTGAACCATTCCTAGAGTTTGAAGGTCATGTATTAAACTTATTTGAGAAAAACAGATTTTAATCTCTAACACTACCTGCAAGCATACAACCAGGCCTGAAACTGAGCATCAGGGGACATAGAATACCTGATTTTATACCTGAAGAGTTCTATGAAAAAATAATTAATAAAAAATCTTGGTAACACACAAGCAGAAAAAGTAACCCAATCCCATCTCTTGCCATGTGATCTGAGCATTTACAAATGCAAATCCTGTTTGTTTACAAATGCAAATCACTAAAACAAATGCTGCATAAGTAGAAAGATTTTCTCCCTCTATCAGTTCCAAAACTAACAAAGAATGACTTACAGACACAGTATTTTCTATGCTGACTGTAAAACAAAAAAGAAGACAGAAAGAAAAAAAAAGTAAGTTTAAAAAATGCAATACCTTTAAACTTGATATTTTGCTTTCTCTGGATGTGTATTCTCGCAACATGTAGGTCTTGTCAGCCTAATGGAAAAAAATGATCATCTGGTATCAGTGCAAGCCAAGCATTTTAAATACATTGAATTCAGTATACATCTGAATTTGGTTGACCACAGATTTTCATCTGGGAGCAGAAATGTATGTTCAAATTCACAAAGACAGAAAAAGTTGATAGCAATGTTCTCTTTTCTAAAAATCACCTTTCTTTGTGCATGCCTAAAAAAAATGCTAGGACTGAATACACTTGTTAATCTTTACTCACCTTGAACTGCTTCATCAGTACAAATACAGTTAGACAGAATAACTAAACCAGTTAAATCTTAACATTCTGTATTATTTATGAGATATCAGAACTCAATGGAATATGGACAGTTATTTGCAAGTTAACACTTGCAGTCTAACTCTATTAGACAAGCCAAAAATAATTTACTTGGAGAAAAGAACAGTATCAAACTATTTACTGTTGCCTATTTTTCCTCTTGTACTTCCTTCTCTAATCTGTGTCTGTCACATGTATTTAAGTGATTACTTCACATGAGAAATAGCCTACTCTGCTCGTGTAACACCTCCCTCCACAGCACCCACACTTGGTTGCTAGTTCAGCACCACCACAATTATAAAAGACAAATGAAAGTTCAGTTCAGGTAACTTCCGTGCCCCCAAACATCAGTATTAAATTAGAGGAATATCAGCAGGTCTATAAAAGTAACACGGCAAGGGAACCTCTGTAAAATACTCATGATGGAAAATAAGGGTTTACCTCATGATGAAGCCTCGTATCATTCATCCTGATAAGTACCCCATCAACTCGCAAGAAAAACCTCAACAGCACAAAAAAGCTGGAAGGCATAACTCTCTGCAAAAATAAAGATGTTCCATTCAGCATATTACAAAGGTACACTTTAAGTATGCAATTATCTGCATCAGATATTCACTATGAAAGATAGTATGAGGAGCTTTCAGTAGTAAAGCCAAAATCTGTGCTGCTGATTTGCTACAACCATGGCTGAACAATAGGGCAGACAGTGCCTCAAAAGATTCCTAGGCAGGATGCAGAAAGAGGGAAAGGACTGTTCCCTGAAGCAAGTGACAGATGATAGAAAGATTTCAAAACAACATATTTTCCAGTAAGATTGTATTTCTAAGAGCAAGGATAAAGAAGTTTGTGTTGTAAAGCTTAAATCCCAGAAGGAAGAACATGCAAAAAGTGACTGCATTTTGCATTTATTAGCCAATGAGTCACCAAGCATCTTGTGTAAGCCTCTAAATACTCACTACTTTTACACTCAAACTTGATACTCCATGATCGTGAAGTTCGTCTTCAAACAGAAGTACTTCTTCAAAAAACATAATTTGTTCCCTGGCTTTCAATTTCTCTGTATTTATGTGTTCTGTTGTAGGAACAACCTAAAGAAAAAGGTTAAGAACAGTTAGCACATTAATTTATTGCCAAACCACAAAAAGTTTGTCCTGATCTTTTGAATTCCACAGTTTTAGAAAAGAAAAAGCTTTTAGAGCTCAAACCTTAAAACATCCCAGATTTCTAGGAGAAGTTAAAATTAAAACCAAAGTTTCCAAGAGTATCCTCTTGGAAACAAACATCAAGCAAAAGCAACAGCTAAGAGTGGAAAATTCTTAATAAACTTCCCTCTGGATACGGGCTCAGTAGGTTTTTAGCTGCAAACAATTCTGTTCACTTTCTTTCAAATGTTTTTTCCAAAACATGTGAAGATGCCTCATGTTTACCATACAAATGAGAAATTCGGGTTTATAAACAGGATTCCACAAGTTCAGTATCTCTTCTCACTACAGACCCTGAAAAGGCTTCTAATAAAGCCTTTCTGTGAAAATCAAGTTTTCCACCTCATGATGGAAAGACCTAATACACCTCATGGTGGATAGACCCTAATACACTTCTGGTGCCTTAAGACTACAGGCCAACAACACATGGTTTGTTTCTGTGCTGCATTTTTAATTCCAGAATAACTCATATGATCTCTAACTAAAGCATTCTAGTGAATTAATATATATTTTCTACTTAGTAGCAAGAAATCTGTATACAGTAAAGAAAAACTGGGAACTTTAGTCTTATTCTCAAGATATGGGAGGGCTTGTGAGTTTAAATAAGAGGAGTTACTGCTGCAATAACATAAAATCACTGAAAGCAGCAAGATCTACATATCTGCTTAGACAAACAGGCAAGTAACAGAGCACAAAGGTAATACAGAATTACACAGTTGATAGCTCTGCTGTGTGTGAGCAGCTCAGAGCTTCAGAGGGGCACCCAGCAAGTGCTGAACATTCCCATGTGCTTTAATCCTAAAATGCCTTAAGACATCACCCACCCTCCCCCACCCCTCCCGTTATTAAAATAAGCCATGATTTCATTAGGATAACATGCTGAGAGACAGGATAAGCCCAAACTATACTTTGCAGTCAGAAGTTATGATTTTACAGAAGCCTACTGAAACGTAAATGACAGCTTTAAAAGTGTTTGACTGAAGCAATATGTGGTCAGCATTTAACATGGAGAAAATTGTTACCTTTAATGTTGCAGTATCTCCCAGCAACGTCCCTTTGTAGTCTGTTGTGTAAGTCCAGTCATACGGCTTGACAACTTCCTTAGTGTGCTCAGTCTCACTCCTCAAAAAGCCAAAGAGAAAACAGGTTTGTAGTAATTGCTTTGTAGTAATTCTCAAAAAATTACAATCCCACATACGACTGTGCACTACGGTTCCCACATTATTCTCCAGCAAAAACAGAAGATTTGTGCTGCAATGACGATGTTAAGACTTAATCATAGTTTCACAACATCTGTTTCCGTAATAACTTAGAAAACCATTACGAGAATTCCTGTGCTAACACTATCTCAGTTCTATGAGTCAAAATAAAGATGTCACGCAATATTGCTGAAAAATTTGTATTTCAAGATCATTTTTTCTTTAAGTAGGCAGAAAGTGATGTGCTGATGACACACAGCAACCATTGACACTGCAATGTTCCTTAGTTTTCATGACAACTTTGCTTTCTCTCTGCGTTTTATTTCCAGGTGCTCTAAAACTAATTTGGTAAATACCAAGCATTACAACTAGTTCTCATGCATGGTAATTGTTCTGCTTTATTCCTAAGGCTAAGATTTTAAACATGTACAGCACTTTGAAATACCACACAATCTTGTAATGCTCGAGGCCCTGTGAGTTCGAATAAACAGGAACAGCACTGAGCCATGTTAAACTTGAAGTTTATTTTAAGAAAGCCAACACACAACTGAAAAATACAGCAGACCCAATTTAACAGACAGGATGATCACAGCAAAGAAAAGCTAAGTGACTTCTGTGATCACACGCTGTATCTAGGGCAGAACCAAATGCAACATGGTCTTCAAGAGTTTGGTCTGTTCTTTTAACTACTTTATGACAGTTTCACATACAACACACCAGTACTTGCCCACTGGTGATAAAATACTGTACCTGCTCTCTTGCCACTCCTCTGCACAAGCGACTTTGATCATACCTTGACAATTATTGACACATTTTAAAGCATCTGTAGCATTGAACTCAATTCCAAAACCATGATCATGCTGTATTCTTAGGATATTGTCTCCAAACATCATTTCTGGCAGGGAAGGCATGTGTAATTCATCGGCCAATCTGCAGAGAAAAATAAAAGACACATCAGTCAGCTATAGTTCAGTAAAAGTAGTCCCTGTTCTGGAATAAGTATTCTTTAGACCATAATAATTTAGAAGGCATATCATTGATGTGTTCTGCAAGACTTTGTATTTTCCCAGGTTAATCATTTGACCTGAAATGCAGAATCATTGAACCAAAGTGACTTTTTCACCACAAAAGTATTTCCAAAACATTCCTTCTCCATCAGGCTCGTACAAAAGTCTCACACATGAGGAATCAAAAAATATCTGAGAAGCATGGAGAAGGAGTTTTTAACCTCTTCTAGCAAATTCCTGGGTGGTCCATGAACTACTCTGGTAGGTACTCAAAAAGAACTTTTAGGAACGAGCACTCATCCTCAGCAAGTTTGAACTCACTAGGCACAGTGGTCCATACCTCCAAATTTAGAAGCCTACAAAAAAGACACTTAAAAGAACCCTGGCATAGTATGTGAAAAGCACAGAAGACACTACTGTGATCTACCACTTTTCCAAGCTGGTAGAAGACTGGTACTGGTATTTATAACTTTAAGCAGAAAAGTCACAGCCAGAGCCACAGATCCAACTGAGCAAGGTACTGCATGAACCAAGTAAGCATGATCCCTGCAGAAAATCTCAAACCATCCTATTTCACGTTCTGTTTTGTATCAATCTATATACTTATTTGTACTTATGTACATATAAACATATGCTATATACAAATACACACACACCCCACCACCTGATATACACTCTGATCTTAATTACTAAAAGGCTTCATATACTTCTTTTTCTCCCTACCACTACCTACTTTACCTCTCAAGATCAAAAAGGAATACATGACATCTGGAGAGAAGAAAACTTTAGGAAAATACATTAACTTGAAGGACAGAAGGGCAAAAAGTGTCGTAATCACGATGTTCACATTGATAACAAGGCATTCCTGAACAAAAGTGGTTATTTCAGTAACCCTACATAAAAAAGAACAATATGCTAACCTTACTAAATTACAAAAAGCAAATTCATAGACCTGGAGAATGAGACCCTACATTTTTCCCAGAGAAGGCAGAATAACATTATGAACTTTTCCATTTCATCAAGTGTAGGTCCCTTGACCTGCAAAGACCAACTCTAGCACAGAAAGGAGTTCTTGGCTATGGCACATTTAATTCTTCACTTTTCCACACAGGCTGCTGAGGGATTTTTGCGATATATATCTGCCAGAAATAAAACTCCTACAGATACTAATGATGCTCCCTGAGCAATAAAAAAAGGCAAAATGCCAAGAGCAATACATTATAAAAGGAAGCTGACTAAAAGCACTGCAACAAGATGGTTTCTGACTTTTCAAATTTGAAGTGGGATGAATTGTTTTTCAGATCTCATGCTAGGTACCGAGATTTACAGGTAAATGGCTATTTTTGGACTTCCCTACCCTGCAAAATCCTCTGTGTTCTTTCAAGTCTGTGTTATGCCTCTTGCTGCTTTACTTTTCAGTCTTTTTCAACGCATTCTGAAAAACTGCGTTCCTCAAAAACATCTAAACAGACAAAAGTAATTTCTGAAAATTACAGAGGTGACTAATTTAAAATAGGTACAGTTAAAGAAACTGAATAGATCAGAAAATAAGTAGAGCAGGCAATTTGGCTCTTAGACTGGCAGCTTAAGTCTCACTTGTTCACAAATAATGAAGAGAATTAACATCCTCCCAATCTTAACAAAAAAGATCTATATTTTTAAGAGGTAGCATCCTGCAAAATAAGTCTTCAAATATGGCACAAAAATGAAATGGTCTAAGAACAGCCCTCCTTCCCCCACAGGACACAGGTACAGCTTACGTGGATGTTGAAGCCTCATTACAGAAAAACTACTAAATCACAGGATTCAAGTTTTCTTACCTGTAACTGTAAAAACCAAAGGATCATTAGTCAGAAGCAGTTTGAGATTATTTTAGGCATAAGATAAAGATGGAAGAAGGAACATAGGTTTTACCTGTTTTAAGGCAGATGCCCAGTTTTAAAAAAGTATTATGTTGTTGTTATGTTTAAAAATTAACATTTACATAGTTTACTATAATGCTAATTAAAAAACAAGCGTAGCATTTCCAGACATGAGACTTTATCAAACAAATTAGAATCATGGAATTGTCTAGGTTGAACACGACCTCTAAGATCAAGTCCAACTGTTAGCCCAGCACTGCCAAGTCCACCAGGAAACAATGTCCCTGAGTGCCATGTCTACACATCTTTTAAACACCTCCGGGGATGGTGACTCAACCACTTACCTGGGAAGCAGGTTCCAGTGCCTGACAACACCTTCTGTAAAGAAATTTTTCCTCCTTGGTGCAACCTGAGGCTGTTTCTTCTTTGTTCTATTATTTGTTACAACCTCCTTTCAGATAGTTGTAGAAAGTGATAAGGTCAGTCCTGAACCTCCTTTTCTCCAGGCTAAACAACCCCAGTTCCCTCAGCCACTCCTCACAGGACTTCTTCTCCAGACCCTTCCTAAGCTCCATTGTCCTCCTCTGGACACACTCCAGCACCTCAATGTCCTTCTCCTAGCGAGGGGCCCAGAACTGGACACAGTACTCGAAGTCCAGCCTCACCAGCGGTGAGTACAGAGGGACAATCACTTCCCTGGTCCTGCTGGACACAGTAAATTTGATCCAAGCCAGGACACCATTGCCTTCTTGGCCACACGCTGCTGGCTCATGTTCAGGGCCTTTGCTGCTGAGCTGCTTTCCAGCCACTCTTCCCCAAGCCTGTAGTGATGCCTGGGGTTGTTGAGACCCAAGTGAAGGACCTGGCACTTCGACCTGTTGAACCTCTCACAATTGGCCTCAGCCCATCGATCCAGTCTGTCCAGACCCCTCTGAAGGCCTTCCTACCCTTCAGCAGATCAACACTCCCATCCAACTTGGCATCATCTGTGAACTTACTGAGGGTGCACTTGATCACCTCATCCCGGACTGTCGATTGATATTAAACAGGACAGGCCCAAATACTGATCCCTGGGGGACATCACTTGTGACTGGCCACCTGCTGGATGTAACTCCATTTACCACCATTCCCTGTGCCCGGCCATCCAGCCAGTGTTTCACCCAGAAAACAGTGCACCCATCCAAGCCAAGGGCAGCCAGTTTCTCCTGGAGAAGGCCTTATTAATCTCGGGAAAGAGAAGAGCAAGATGAATGTGCATACATTTAACATGACTAACAAGAAACTGTATTCCACTATTCCAGAAACTGAAAACAAGAAGTATCTGATGAATTTAGCTGCCACTGTACTCAGTTATGGCACAGCTGAACTGTTCGGCTCCACATTAGCAAATCTGACTTAAGTGCTTGATGCTGACACAGGAACACTTTCTCCAATGGTTTGACAGGAGTGGAAATTACTACAAGAAGAAAGCAAATTATAAATTTTTAATGAAAACCACTACCTTAATATAGCTATTACCAAGACACGCTACTAGAGTAGAGAGTCCACGGGCCACATTAAAAAGTAATTAAGAAAATCAGGCTTCTAATTAGCAGGCATCAATTCACAAAGGTCCAGATCTCCAAAACCACTAGAATCATGGAACGGTTTGGAATGGAACGGACCTTAAAGATCATTGAGTTCCAACCCCCTTGCCACAGGCAGGGACATCTCCCACTGGACCAGGTTGCTCAGAGCTCCATCCAGCTTGGCCTTCAACACTGTTAGGGATGAGGCATCCACAACTTCTCTGGGCAACCTATTCCAGTGTCTGGCCATCCTCACAGTAAAGAACTTCCTCCTAATATCTACTCTAAACCTGTTCTCTTTCAGTTTGAATCTTGTCCTGTCACTACATGCTCTTGTAAAAATCCCCTCTCTGTCTTTCTTGTAGGCTCCCTTCAGCAATCATTAAAACCAAATTTTGGAAATCACCTGTAACCCAAATCACCCTAGTTTCTCCAGCCAAAGAATCAAGCTTCCCATCTCGAAAAAAGAGGGAAGAGCTCCCCCTCCCCCCTAGTAACTGGACTGAGAAGCATCTCCCCCGCCCTGGGAAGGGTCTGTGCTTCCAG